ACTGAAAATAAACGGGCGGAAATGAACGAAAATGCTTGTTCCACAATTTATTTGAACTTATCTGACTCTGTGATTAGAAAAGTTGGAATTTTGGACTGTGCTAAAACTCTTTGGGATAAACTTGAAGAACTCTATACTGAAACCTCTTTGCCCAGTAAAATGTTTTTGCTTGAAAATTTTTTCAAATTTAGATTGGATATGTCTAAGGACATTGAGGAGAACCTAGATGTTTTCACAAAACTTATTTCAGATATTAAGTTAACTGGTGATAAACATATAGATGATTATACTCCTATTGCCCTTCTAAATGCTATTCCTGACTCATATAGTGATGTGAAATCTGCTATTAAATATGGTAGAGATGAGGTTACCCTTGATGTTGTGGTCAATGGTCTTAAGAGTAAGGAATTAGATTTAAAACATTCTGGGGGAAATAAAAATTCTGGTGAGGTTATGCATGTGAGGGGTAGGCCTCAGAATAGGTCTAATTACCAAAAGAATGCTAGTAATGGGGAATCAAGTAAGAAAAAATTTGAAAATGGAAGAGGTAGATCTAAGTCCAGGTTTAAAGCTAAAAAATGCTATAATTGTCATGAAACTGGTCACTTTATTAAAGATTGTCCTAAGCCTAAGAAAAATCAGCAAAATGAACATGCTAATATGGCTGTCTGTGAGGGCAAAATGGGTGAGATTTTCATGATTAATAATCTGTGTGATTATGCATATTTGAACTCTGTGTTATCTGATCCTTTGTGTAAATCAGATTGGTTAGTAGACTCTGGTTGTACTTTTCATATGACTCCTTTTAAAACCTTGTTTTCAAACTACAAGAAAATAGAGAATGGCTTTGTGTCAATGGCAAATGAAAAGAAATGCAATGTTTTAGGAACTGGTGATGTATGCCTTAGGTTTTCCTCTGGTTCTGTGTTTACTTTGAAGGATGTTAGGCATGTTCCTGATTTACGTTATAACTTGATTTCTTGTGCATCTCTAGAAAATGATGGTTTGGAGGGAAAATGGGGTAAAGGGGTTATGAAAATTCAAAAAGGGTCTCTTGTTGTTTTTACTGCTGAAAAACAAAACAATTTGTATATTTGTCATGCTGAACCTGTGCTTGATTCTGTTAACTCTGTGATAGGTGATAAATCTGTTTTATGGCATAATAGATTAGGTCACATGAGTAATAAAGGATTAGAAATTTTGCATAAAGGAGGTCACTTTGGTAGTGATAAAATATCCCCCATCCCTTTCTGTGAATCTTGTGTGCTAGGAAAACAACATAGGGTTACTTTTCCTACTTCTTCTTTTCCTAATCAGTCTAAGTGCACTAGTGTACTTGAATATTTGCATGCTGATGTGTGGGGTCCCTCTAGTGTGCCTACGCATGGAGGGAACCAATATTTTCTTTCCATAATTGATGATTATTCTAGGAAAGTTTGGGTTTTACTCATGAAACAAAAATCTGAAGTTTTTGATAAATTTAAAAACTGGAAAATTATGATTAAAAACCAAACGGGAAAGAAAATTAAAACTCTTAGGACAGACAATGGTCTTGAGTTTTGTAACAAACAATTGAATGATTTGTGTACTACTTGGGGTATTAAAAGGCATAAATCTGTTCCCTATACACCCCAGCAGAATGAGATTGCTGAAAGGATGAATAGAACTCTCTTAGAGAGGGTGAGGGCTATGTTGGCCACATCTGGGCTCTCCAAGAAGTTCTGGGGAGAAGCTGTTTGTACTGCAGCCTATTTGATTAATAGGTCTCCTTCTGTTCCCTTAGGAGGGAAATGCCCTGAATTTGTGTTCACGGGCAAACCTCTTGATTTAAATAATTTGAGAATTTTCGGGAGTGCTGGCTACGTGCATCAAAAGATTGATAAGTTAGAACCTAGATCTAAGAAATGTGTTTTCTTAGGATATCCTGAAGGGGTAAAAGGTTATAGGCTTTGGAATAAGAGTGAACCGGGGTTTAAGGTAGTGATAAGCAGAGACGTTGTCTTTAATGAAAATGAATTTCCTTGTTTACCTTTACATGTTCCTATTCCTGAAAATGATGCTCCAAATGAGGTGGAGCAAAAGCCTATTATTAATCAACCCAAATCATTTCCTGAAGAAAAATTGAATGATATAATTATTGAAAATCAAGATGAGATTATTCCAAATGAGGTGGAGCATGATATGCAGGAAATAGATAACATGCATGATTTGAATGATTATCAACTCACTAGGGATAGAAATAAAAGAACCATTAGGAAACCTGAAAGATATAGAGATTGCAATTTGATTGATTGTAATATGTCTGAGTTTGCCTTTAATGTGTTTGAATCCCTTGAGTGCAATGAACCTAAGACTTATAAAGAAGCATTAAGGTCAAAATATTCTGAAGAATGGATTAGTGCTATGAAGAGTGAGATGGAATCCCTAAAAATTAACCAAACATGGAAACTTGTTCCTAAACCTGCTAGTTGTTCTGTAGTGGACTGTAAGTGGCTGTTTAAGGTGAAACAAGAATCTGAAAGTGTTAGGTTTAAGGCTAGGTTAGTAGCTAAGGGATTTACTCAAAAGGAGGGAATTGATTATGCTGAAATTTTTGCTCCTGTTGTCAAATTCACTACTGTTAGAATTATGCTTGCTTTAGTTGCTCATTTTAATTGGGAATTAAAACAAATGGATGTAACTACTGCTTTCTTGCATGGTGATCTTGATAAAAATATTTATATGCACCAACCTGAGGGCTTTGTGGACCCTAAATTGCCTGATCATGTGTGTTTGTTAAAAAAGGCTTTGTATGGTTTAAAACAATCACCTAGGCAATGGAATATTAGATTTGATAAATGCATGCAATCTTTAAAGTTTAAAAGGAGTTCTGCTGATCATTGCCTGTATTATAAGAATATAGACTCTGTGCCTGTATTTCTTGTAATTTATGTGGATGACATGTTGATTGTTAGTCCTTGTTTGAAGTCTATTGAGCATGTTCAAAAATGTCTTTGTGAAAATTTTGACATGAAAGACTTAGGTGATGCTAAAAGAATCCTAGGCATGAATATTATTAGGGACAAAAACAAATCTACTCTAGTTTTAAACCAAAGTTCATATGTTGAAAAAATTTTGAGTAAATTTGCTATGTCTAATGCTAAATCTGTGAATGTGCCTCTTGCTTCTCATTTTGTGTTAAGTAAGGATCAATCTCCCAATACTGAAACTGAAATAAATGATATGAAGAAGGTGCCATATTCGAATGCTATAGGATCTGTCATGTATCTCATGGTTAGTACTAGGCCTGACATTGCATATGCGGTTAGTTGCTTGAGTAGATATATGTCAAACCCTGGTATGCCTCATTGGAATGCCTTGAAGTGGCTTTTAAGATATTTGAAATCCTCTGTGGATGTAGGATTAACCTTTTCTAAGTGTTCTGAAGGTGTCAAACTTGCTGGCTATGTAGATTCCAATTATGCAAATGATAGGGATAATAGAAAATCTACCACTTCCTATGTGTTTACTTTGTGTGGCTCTTGCATAAGTTGGAAATCCCAATTACAACCCATTGTTGCTTTATCTACTACTGAATCTGAGTATGTTGCTACCACTGAAGCTTTTAAAGAAGCTATTTGGCTTAGGGGCCTTATATCTGAAATTGGTTTTCTTGATAAAAATGTGGTTGTATTTTCTGATAGTCAATCTGCTATTCAACTTTGCAAAAATCCTGTTTTTCATGATAGAACTAAACATATTGATGTTAGATTTCATTACATTCGGGATATAGTTGAAAAGGGTATTGTCAAGTTAGAGAAAATTCCCTCAGAATTTAATCCTGCTGACATGGGTACTAAGTGTTTGCCTGCTGAAAAATTTATATCGTGTCAAAGAATCTTGAATTTTGATTTTGGGTAATTTTCCTTTGCTTTGTGTGTTGCCTTTGTGGCCTATTAACTTGCTTTGTGCTTGTTAATAGCTTTGTGATTTTCCCTTTGAACTCGATGACCGTTTGGTAGAGTTCGGTCCTTTGTGGACTTGGTATGCTTGGTGATTTTACCCCGATCTTTGTGATCTGAGTTTACTTAGTGTATTCTCTTCCATTGCTTGTATCTTCTTTGTGATTATACAGGTAATAATTTGGCGATGATGAGTCCTGCAGTTCCGTGTTTTTCCTCTGTGCACTACCTTGGGCCAAAGGTGGAGATTGTTGCTAGTTGTTGGCCCAAAGCTTATGGCCCATTACCAAAAAGCCCATTTCTCTTTTGTTTAATTGATGTGCCCTAGCCTATGTGCCCTAGCCCCTCTTTTTTTCTCTTCTCCTACCCGATGGTTCTCTCCTCCTCAGAAGTCTTCGTGATCTGATGGCCGCCGCTTGCTCCCATCCGTAGGTCTGCTCCCCCCTTCGTTTTCTTTGCTAGCTCCTCTCCCATGTCGGCTGCCCCCTTCCCTATATAAGGGTAATGGGTTGGTAGTAGCCACGATGAGGATGTAGAGGAAGAAGAAAGAAGAGACTGTGAGCTTTGTGCTTCTACCCGCTGTGCGATCCTCTCCCCTACCTGAGCTCTGTGCTCCTTCAAAGCTCTGTGCTTTTACCTCTTTGTGAGATCTGGAGAGAGACTGTGTAATAGTTGCTTTTCTCTCTCCCTTTGTGTTCTTGGTGGTGCACTGGAGAAGAAGATCGGACTGATTGAGCAGGCTTCTGAGCCACACAGCGACAAGATCCACAACAATTAGAACTCCAATTTGCTACTATTAAAAGGAATGTTGTGGATTCAATTCACTATGGAATTGGAATTCCTCAACTTCCAACCAACCAATCAGTAGATTAGAACAAAATCCAGGAACTAAAATCCATAGAATTCCAACTCACGGTAACCAAACAGATCCTGCTCCAGTTAACTCTTACTATCGTCGAATCTTCCATTTTATGGTCACTGGATGAAAGAGACTCATAATAGTCGGGACCCACATAGCAAGTAGAAAAAGCAAGCAATGGAAAAACAAACAGTAATCACCTGCAGTATCTGATTTAATGCTTTGGAAAGAGCAGGCTTTATGTCAGCAGGATGCAATGCACCACTCTCATAGTCCGCAATTAGCTCCTCCATATTAGTATAGTCCCTGAAAAACAATGATTTTTTTTAGTCATAAGATAATTACAAAGAACAACAACCACGTGTATGGTCTAGACTAGATTAACACTCAAAATTGGGTTACAATGGTAGAATAAACCTTGTCTGCTAAATTACTAGGGATGTCATCCAAGTATATAATATTAGCAAAAGTAGTAGTAGTGCTAGTAGGGTTGGGCATGGGCCGGTTCGAACTGCGGTAAAACCGGCCCAGACTGATTGGGTCGAAACCTAGCCTGACCCACACCAGGCCAGGCCCAACCTAACCCACACCGGAGATGGGTCATGGGATCGGGCTAGGTTTTGAGCTAGACCTGGGATAAAAGAGGCAGGCCCGGCCCACTTGAGAAATGCTAATTAAGTCTCATTGAATAAATTAATCATTATTCATTAGTTCTCTTCTTTTATTTGTTGCCATTTTCCACAATCCAGACTGAGAACACACCACAAATTTTTATAAATAACATAGTATATCCCATGTTTTTTTAATGCTACTGCACTCAAACACTTTCATCACATCGAGAGCACAATTTTACTGTTCAGTAAGAACCAAAAATTTAGCAGTACAGAAGTCACGAGTAAAAACTAATAAGTCGAACAATGATTCTACAGGTGAAAAAGACCCTTAACCGCATCCAAGTAACTAAAGTAAGGAAAAGAAAGATGAAAATTATATATCAGAAGATTAAATCACTCACTTGTTACCCCCATTTTCTGCTTTTCGCACTACCTCGAAGCTTCCAAACCATGGAAATATGATATATTTGACGTATTCTAAACAAGGATTTCCCTCAATAATCTTTGGCGGGCAGTAAGCTTTCTTTATTTTCGAATTCACATCACCCTGCAACAATCAGGCCCAAGTTATGAATGGATCTGAACATTAAGTATTCTTGTAACAGATGGAACAGTCAAACTAAACCAAAAGCAAGGATACAAAAATATGTAGAAAATACATCTGATTTTTAAAAGAAGACTGCACATTTGTTTCAAATGCCGTTATGCTGATACGAGAAATTGCTTCCTTCTGAACCTCATACATGTTCCTTTAAAGAATAGGTTCAAGGAGAAGTTTCTCCATTTGGTGCATCCAAGAGGATGTTTGGCATATGGAATTGGACGGAAGTCTAGGGAAATTAAGGAATTTTCTACTATTTCTTACAGTTTCCATGTTTGGTGCACAGAAATTGGAAAATCAAGTTTGAAACTAAAGTTTACAAATCCCGTGGCAACTACCGTCACATAAAATAACTTTCCAGAAACTTTCTTAACGTAGAGGAGGAAAATCATGGAAAGAAAGCTTACTTATATTATTTAGTATTTCTTAGGTTTTTCTCTCACTTTTTGATACATAAAAAGAGGAAATAATAAACAGCTGATATCATGTTATAATACACCTTAACTTCATTAAGTTCACATATTAAAAGCAAACAATATAGTGCAGGAGTGCCCCTCCTTTCCATAAGAAATGAAAAGAGTGGAGAATCTCTACCTTCTCTCAACCAAAAAACTTCAGCAAGCCTGAGAAGGTCTACGAAGAGATAATGAGGTCATCCAAGTAGTCTACACTCCACAATAGAATTGTCGTAAAAAAGAATGTTAAGTACTAGCCATAACTGCATCCTCAGTCCCAAAGAAATTTTCATATGGACCAACTTAGAAAAAGATCAAGCAAGAAGACAAGATACGTTAACATGATCCTCGGTGTCTAGAATGATTTATCAACCAAGGGATTTTCTAATACATCCTTGTTGAACAGCCCTCTGAAAGAAGCATGATGATTTTTCCATGCTCAAGCAAACAATAAGGTGGAAAAGCATTATACTATCATGTTGTTCTGACAGTTAGCTCTAACTTTTGCATCACTTCATCATTTTCAGATTGATGCCAACCCCGTCGTGCACCGAAGTCAACCAAAAAAGAAGAAAAAAAAAGAATACGCACTGGCCCATATTTGGAGATAAAGCACAAGTGTATCCCTCAAAATCATACTAAATGAATCCATGCTCCACAGGATAAGACTGATAAAATTATAGTGCCATTTCTGAAATTGGATATGGTTCCTGTAATCTATCTCACATAAATAATTTCAATGATTACTTGTTCATAGAATTCTCTGGGTGGTGGATATATCCAAAGAAGAGGCAAATATTGAACACAGAACTTGTACAAATGGATTCTACAATTCAATTTAAAATCAGATTTAGTGGTCTTTCTTGACATACCTCCTCGTCTTCCATATAAATAGAGGAAGATGGATCACTTTTTGACATTTTCTCCTGTCCCTGTTGCAACCCAGGAAGCATATCTGTAGTTGAGGTTATGGATCAATAGTTATGTCAAGATAGCCAATAAACAATAGTTGAATAAAATAAAAGAAATTATGAAGTCTAAGCAGGTTACGGTGTGAAAGAATGATTGGTTTATTTCTCCTTTTAATATCAGCACAGTATTCTCTTGCAAGGACATTGACCTTGCGTTGGTCCATGCCTAATTGGCAGATGTCAGCCTGCGAAAAAAATAATAGGTTGTCATGGCTGTCCGAAAGGATGCAAGGGTGAAATTTAACTCCCACCCACTACAAGTAGAGTAAATGTAAGATTAACAATTGAAATAATGCGCGATGGAAGAATAACCCTATTTGATAGTGTTTAAAGGTAAACTCGCTTTCAATTGCAATTCACTATTACAGTAACACTAACAGTATAACAAGAACAAGTTTTCAAAAATTGTTGGTCCATACCAGGAGAAAAGATTAAATTATTTTGTCCTGACCACCGCTAATGGAAGCAAACATGTGTCAAAGCTACAATCCTTTTAAAACAAAGTACCAGTATTTGGGAATTTGAAAGAGGATAGATCTTATAGAGAAGTGCAAAGCTAGACTCCTTTTAAACAAAGTACCAAATTTTGTCTCCTTTAGTAAAATGCTTGAGCTCAACGTCAAACTGTTTGGCAATGATTGAACATCTTCTTTCTCTGAAAAACTATTAATGCTAAAACTTTCTTAGCTCCTCAAACACCCTTAGTTTTCTCTAAACAATAAAATAGTATGCCAACTCAAGTTTAGTGCCATCTATCTCCTCCCTTGTAAAAAGACGTTATGAACAATTCGAAATACACTGTTATCCAATTTGCAAAAGATTTTATGGACACAGCCTACTATTTTGATGCATGAAGGGAAAATTTTAAATGGGCAATAAGTTATCTACAATTATTATCTTTCATGACTGGTTGGAAAAGGAAAAAAAGCATGATTCAGCTTCGAATTGTTCGACCATTCCGATTCAATAATAAACAAGCATGCCCGTGTATCAACCACAAAAAAATTGATAATGACAATCGATTTAATAATAATGATAAACTAAAAACATCCGAGAGCACATAAGTAAAGCAACCTTCAGGAAGAAAATATCAGCGCATTGCATACATGGATAGAAAATTTGGGCAGCTGTCAGTTCATCTGTATCATTGCGACCCATGATCTGGCTACATCTGCATGAGACCAGTTTACTTTCAGTTTCTGACTATATAGATAAGTAAAGAAAAGCAGAAGCTACAACGAACTATCGCACTACCCTTATTTTGGACGCTTGATCTAGGACAATTTTAGAGGCTTATTCGTTTGCAGGAGTTCAAATTGCAAGATCAATAAAGTAACTTTTTGTGCCTTCTTAATGGTCTTCTATAGTTTCTTATCTAATCCACAGTTGGGAAGGAATTTGCCACCCTTTATGCAGATGAGTAGGCCGACACTCCCAAGTTTTGATAATTATTTCATGGAACCTCCTGCTCATAGGCAAGCCCATTTAGGGAAATCATGACGATGACCTATCCAAATATATAAGATATGGAATATGGCACCTATGGATATATAGATCCACAACAAACCTTATTATCCTGGGAAGTGTGTTTCTCCGAGCAATATCCATGACAAGTGGCCAGTACTCACTTGCCCGACCATTGATCTCCTCCGAAGACCATAAGAACTCAACCTTATCCAGATTCATTCCAACCGCTTTCCATATCTCAATTAAATATTCGCCAACCGTTCTTATTTTTTTCAAGTCACCTCCCATCTTATTATTTAGTTGCGCAAACCAATCTGCAATCCAGATTTTCACAGTGCACCCAGCTGATGTCAGTTTGTTGACATTTATAGCCTTCAGAACACCCTGGTCAAAAGTTAAACGCATTACTTTAAACCAAATTAAAATATATAGAACACCTAATCAAGTTACATTTAATATGGTAAAGAAAATACTTGATATTCGCCATTCGGTAAACGAACTAAATAAGGACTTCTTGTATGCGCCACTACAAGGCAAAAGCAAGACCGACATAATCCCAAAAGCACAGGAACAATGAGATGATAGCAGTAAAGACCAAAATGTGACCAAGCAACTCGGAGAAATGGTTGCCTGAGCAATACATAATTATTCTTAGAGGTACCACTGTAAATCAAACAAAATGAAATTATGTTTCTAAGGATGCAAAAATCAAACTCGACCTCTCGCCCTGTTTAAGCAATCATCAATATGGACTTCTATTTATTAGATTGTTAAGCATCTCTATTCTAATAACAACTCTAGGAGCGTCTAAAATTTGAAGACGTGGTGCTGGTCTTACACTCAACTCAAGGTTGACATTTAGAAAATTCTTTAAGATAATTGTAGGCTGTCTAAAAATCACAATGGATAGCTGAGTCTCCATCGAACACTGATGATGGAAGTTACAATCTGACGACTTCCAGAAGGCTACAATTCGAAGATTTTCACATGTCAAAGAGTTAAAGCAAATATTACAAAACGACAGTCTTTAGCAATACTCTGACAGAAAGGATTACAAATCGACGATCTCTTCAAACCAAGACGTGGAAGTCCTCCCCGCGTACCATCATCAAGACACTACACCGATTCAATCACCTACGCCGCTTCAACAGCTATAAACACGAATGCAGCTTCTTATGTGAGATGATTGATCTTGATGGCTGCGACAACAACATGACTAATATTATATTAGCAACCATTAGAGGTGCTGATGAGCAGTGTAATGATATTCGACACACTCAGTGGAGATCATGACCTGCAGTTGATAGAGCGTTATTGAGATGCCTCAATTGTCACAAATGGCCTGAATAAGACCTTCTTTACTGGTCTTTGGTGTCATCCATATATAAAGACAGAGAAATCTAAATACTACAACAATCAACAGCTAGAACGCAGCTCCAATCGCTGCCAAGCACAGCTCGAACGCAGCTCCAATCGCTGCCAAGCACAGCTCGAACGCAGCTCCATCGCTGCCCAACGCAGCTCCAATCGCTGCCAAGCACAGCTCGAACGCAGCTCCAATCGCTGCCCAGCACAGCTCGAACGCAGCTCCATCGCTGCCCAACGCAGCTTATCAATCGCTGCCCAACGCAGCTTATCAACCGCTGCCGACGCAACTCATCCATCACTGCCCAACGCAGCCCGTCAGTCGCTGCCAAACGCAGCTCAATCACCGCCAGAACGCAGGTTAAGGTTCTGACTCATTCAAACGTGATCTAACAACTTCGAAGCTGTTCTTCACCCACGATTTGAGGAGTGGCTTTAGTGGGTTGTTACACCCGACTAATGGGGTAACTAAACCCCCATTTAGGCGCGGATTATGGGGGCAGTTACACCCCTAATCCCCCTATAAATAGCAACAAACTCAACAGAGTAAAGGATCTCTTTTTTTGGATTGGGGAGATCGGATTTTTGATAATCAGATCAAGAGAGATTTCTTTTCATTAATCGGAGGGGGATCTTTCGATCAAATCTTCCAGAATCAGAAAAAGGAGGATTGACTCCTTACACAGTCTGGGAAATCAACAAACGGAGGATCTCTAAACCATCGATATTTGGCTTATTAACCGAATTATTTTCGGTTCCAACAACTCTATCATTAGAGTTTGTTACTTGTTCTGAATCACAAAACTCGACAAGAGTTATCAACCGGCCAAGACAGTTGTTCCAGTGAAGTATAGATATTCGGATCGTCAACGAGAAGCAAACTCGACGCAAGCATTCGAGGGAGGCATCTCATCGCTACCGTGAAGAACCCAGAATTAAACAAAGGGGAGAATCCAGATCATTCTCTTCTCTTTTGTAACTAGGAATCCAAATTGTAATCGAGAGTTGAGAGAGTTGTAATCATTCTTTTTCTAAGCAGTTAGAGAGAATAAAATCAAACGCAATTCTTTCCTTATATTCTTTTTATTACAAAATTTCCCACAAACAAAAGATGGCGACTCCGCTGGGGACTAGCTTCTCTGACGAAGAGGTGGTGGCGCAATCCGACGTTCACCTCACTGGAACAACCGTGGAAACCTTGGTCGTGGAATTTGACCAAGCCAAATACGAGGAGGCTCTCTCTTCCGGATCGCTCAGCCCTAAGGCTAGGCGAGATGCTTGTAAGAGCTCTAAAGAAGTCTTAACTGCTGTTGAGACGCCAAAGAAAGTCCTCTCCTTTGGCCAAAGCCTCAAGCTCGCTCTGCAAACCGAAGATCACACGCCTATGTCGACACAGCGTGTACTTGGTTGTAAAAGGCCTATGACAGAGATAGGCACAATCAACGCCGGTGTTGCTGATACTAAGGCTTTGAAACAAGCCAAGAAAAACGCTGCTCGACGACGAAGAAGGTCCATCCGACGAGCACACCTCCGAGAAAATCAATCCCGAGTCCAACGCAAGGATTGCGTCTCCGAAGATCTGCACAAGCATTGCGTCCATACTCCAGAACGCACACTTCGAGGTAATGAATCCAATTACAAACCTCGGGTGATTCAACTTAAACGCGACCCTCAGTGGTGCGTTGTCCAATCAAAGCACAGCCCTGTTAAGGGAAAACAAGCACCTCAAGAGTGCGTCCAAACAAAACAAGACCCTAAAGGGTCTGTTCCTTCAACTAAACGCAGGCCAAGGCCTAGTGTTTATAAATCAAAACGCGACCCTCACGCTTCGACGCCCGAATGCAATAGGGTCCGTCAGGTTCAACAAGAACCAATTTCACCCACTCAAGAACAGGGAGTTTCATCCCCGATGAAGAACTGTCCTCGGGTCTCAGATTTGCGAGAGTTGCTTTCCAGAGAAAAGCCAACGCAACGAGCAGCCCATCCATGTCATTGCGAACGGCTTATTTCAACAGTCCTTTCCGAATGTCACTGTTGTATTCCTGAACCTCGCAGATCTGTATTCGACAGATTGACTGACGTCGCAAGACCTACCAAACGACGACGTCAAAAGAAGAAAGTTTCTGAAGCTGAATACCCTCAGGTTACCATCAACATGACCAGTAGAGGAAAAGCCCCGTGTCCCAGTTCCGATGAATCAGAAAGAAGCCATTCCCCGACCGTTCGAGAAATTTGCGACGAGTTCGAAGGGGTATATCGACATACCCGGTCACGGACTGGAGCTATCCGCCCGGTTAATTACCAAAGGTTAGCCCAAGGGATTACGACAAGTGATGAACATTCGGCAATAGCTGAATCTCAATCTTCAAGCTCTGTTGGAGCACAAAAAGTTTCTGTTTACATGACGACGAATCCCGAGGACATAGCTAAAAGAGTGGATGAACATCATACCATGCTCCAGGCACAACAGGAGACACTTCTCCAATTGAAGGATATGTTCGTCCAATTTCTCGCTGAAAAAGGGCAAAAACCCGAGTCTTCCCGGAGGACTACGTCAAAAGGAAAGCAGAAGGTGCACGAACACTCAGATCGTGAGACTCACAACTTAGATTCTTCTTCTGACAATGAGAAGGAGATGGAAAAAGAACTGTATCCTCAGTCAACCAAAGTAGACGAGCTAGAAGCCCGCCTTAACGCAATGGCCAACAGGAGCGAGCTTCGCGAGGAAGGAGTGATACGACCCTACCCTGCAGAATGGGATACGGCTCCCTACCCACCAAAGTTTAAGGCTCCAACGCTACAACCTTTCGACGGTACAGGGTCACCAAATCAGCATATCTACTACTTCAAGTCTCAAACAGGAGATGTGGTAGCCAATGATGCCATCCTGACGCGCTTGTTCATCGGTACTCTCAAAGGAGTAGCCTTTGAATGGTTTATGAAACTGCCTGCTGGATCTATCCAGAAGTGGGTAGATTTGGAAAGGCTTTTCTTGGCCAGATTCTTCGAAGATGACACAGAAGTCTCGGTCCCTACCCTTCTTGCCACAAAGCAAAAGAAGGGAGAATCTATTAAGGCTTATGTGGAGAGGTTCCGTAGCATGGCATTGCGATGCCCATCAGGTATGACTCAATCAACTCTAGTTGAAACTTGCAGGCACAACCTGCAGACTCAGCTCCTCGCTCAGATGGGAGTAGCAGAATGTCGCTCCTGGAGACAACTAGTTTCGCAAGGAGAACAAGCTGAAGAAATTGTCGCCCGGATCAAAGCTGAAGAAGAGCCACAACCCAAACCGCAGCAACAACGCAATCAGAACAATGCCCAGCGGTCTAAGGGAAAAGAGACTCTAGCAGCTGACTACACGCAAGTACCACCGCCCACTAAGCAAGGCAAGACGCCCAATCAACAAAGAGCACCCAAGCAGTATTCGTTCAAAGAAGAGCATGTGGACACTCTGTTCCAACTACTTCGGAAGAACAATAAATTGCAGCTTCCTGAAATCAGAAAACCAGATGAAGCAGGGAAGGTAGATGACCCCAATTACTGTCGCTATCACAGGTTCTTGGGACATCCTACCAGAAAATGCTATGTGTTCAAGGACATCTTGCAAAATTTGGTGAATGCTAATGTACTTACTCTGAAGCCGGAGCAGAAGACTGTATCCACTAACCTGATTGCGGTCCAGTTCGGTGACTTTCCCCCTGTAGCTGCTGTAGATGGGGTCATTCCCGTCCATAAAGGAGAGATGCACCTGAAAAACACCGATTTACACAATCAGAAGGACAGGGGGTTGGTACCCTTCACAACCTCCCAAGGAGAAATCATGTGGGTCCATCCTGATCTAGTGGGTGACCAACAGTGGACGAATACCTCGTCTAAGAAGAAGGGGAGCAAGGCTAAGTCTTCCAACATGATTAGCCCCTCCGTTACTGAGAACGATGACCACCTCAAGACCCTTACAGATTCAGAAGAGGAGAGGATTGTCCTGGCAGCATACCCGGGGGATAACCCTGGCACTCGGTCTGGAAAGACTTACTTGA